AGGCACCCCTATAGTCACCAGAATGGAGGTGCGCAGACAGCAAGGGACCAATGAACAGATACCAAAGGAAAAGAATGTCCACACCTTTATCTCAGCTGTTCTTCCAGGCATCTGTGGTTGCTCCAATCCTTCCCCCAAGTGGTCTCACCCAAGATGGCGACTCCTGGAGCAGCCGATCGTCCTGGACTAAAAAGCAATGGATTTCTTTCTTCTGCCACAAATTCCCCCAGCTGTGAGCCTTCCAACTTTCTAAGTATTCCTTTATATGTGGTTCAGAGTTCTGGGACCATCCCCTGAGCCTGCTTGGTTGGGTATTCTGTGTTGTTGTTGGCGGAGCTCTCTCCTACACATCCACCCAATCCGCCATCTTGTTTGTTCTTGGCTCCTAGGATTTTTGAGATGTAAGACAGCATCTAAAACTCAGTTAAAAATCATTTCCTGAATACTTGTTATCTTTTACTTCCACAAACACTGATTATCAGAGCCATTCTAAAAAACCCACAGATACTGTTTATTAGGACCTACTCCAATGACCACCACCAACAATTCCAGTGAAAGGCCACCTAGTAGTTTCTCTTGCATCTTTGTCTGTATGAGCACCTTTTGGTATATCTGGTGTCTGGACTCCATCTTTTATATTTGGCAAGTATATGAGACCAGTATGTAGTCTACTTAGTTTACACAGAGGTCAAACAAAAGCAACTTCTGGAAGCAGTTGTTTTGTACCTTATGAGTTAAAAGCTACCACTAAGAATTTCCTGAAAAAAGTCAACCTTTGGTTTTCCATTTTTGTATGATCCTGAACAGACTTTCCCTGCAAGCCAAATGTGCTTCTAAGTCGACCTGTCTCTTTTGTAGCTGGTTTGTTACCTAGCTGCATTTCAGATCTAGTTATAAGAAACAGTCATTTTGAAGATGAGGTTTATGACTTCCTTCTGATAATTGAATATTCCTTTAAGACTTCTAAGCAGGGAACAAAGTAGAATGCTTAAAAATATAAACCATAAAAAGTTACATATTGGCTTCATTTTCAAATTTTGATAAATACACTAAAGTTATTCATAAATACGGCTTTTGAGACTTGGCATTTTTCTTGCGCTAATACTTTTTTTAATAATAAATTTTGGTTTGTCTTATTTTTTATTTTTGTCCTACTGGGTTATTTTTCCCCTTCTCTTTTTGGATTGTTTCCCCTTTGTTACGTTACACATTGCTAGGACCTGGATAAGGCCCAGGAGGACATACTGAGACATCAGGCTAGCATTAGTGAACTCAAGCGCAATTTTATGGAATCCACACCTGAACCACGCCCCAGTGAATGGGAAAAACGACGTATCACACCTCTGTCCCTACAGACACAAGGGGTATGTCACTAGCTGTTTGTTGGCAATATGTCTCACTCTGGCTGTCTAGTGAAACTGAGGTTGCTAATCTATGATGTTGATTTTTAGGAAGTTAGAATGTGTTTTCATTGAATTTTCTATGTAAGTGCTAATAACTATTTTAAATACTAATACTAAAAACAATTTTTATTAACAAAGTAATACTTATTGGCTTAGTTCACAGGTAAATTGTATGTGTTTCAAAATAGTTTTGAAATAATTTCAGGATAAATTTACTATTTACTTTGGTAAATTATCATATAGGACAACATAGAAACTGAAATTATTGTGTGTTTTAATAAGTTTTTAGTTAGTGATTTCTGAAATGAAGTTTATCTAATAATTATAATTACCTAAAACTTAAAAAAATGTAGGAATATAGACCATATTTGCTGTAGCTTAAAGTAATTTTACTGTGAGGATAATGAGATAAACTTTAAACAAAAACTGGAAGCCTTGGGGAAAACTTGCAAAATGGTTTTTTTTTTTTTAATCAGATAACTTGGTAAAAAACTATCTTATAATGAATGAAACATAGACCAGTTAAACCATTTTAAAAATGAAATCATCTTGCTTGTCTTTCATCTTCTTTCCATGGTTTGTTTCTTTCTCCTACCAGAATAAGTATTGCTACCTCAGTATATTCTCAAATTCTTTCATCATTCTTTCCCATGCACATTTGTTCCTTCTGATGCTACCCATAACCTCCCATTGTTGATCCCAAACTTCTGTGGGCTCTTTTACTATACAATATTTAATATACAATTTTCAAACTGCATAATGTTCTTACCCTATGATTTCATCTTTTTCCCTCCTTCTCTCCTCCTTAAATTTCGCAGATGTTGTTGTTAGTGTCGTCAAGTCAATTCTGACACATAGTGACCCTGCACAGGGTTTCCAAGGAGCGGCTGGTGGGTTTGAACTGCCAACCTTGTGGTTCACAGTTCAGTGCTGATCTTACAGCGCCACACCAGGATTCTGGATTAAACGTTGTCAAATTCTAACCATATGGTTTAGGTAGTCTACTGTTGTTTTTATTCACCTTTCTTATCAAAAGATGTCTTCAGTCTCTTTAGTTTGTGACAGAAAGGAGAAAGCTCTTTAAAAAACAGATTAAGCAGAAATAATAGCTGAACCTAAAAGAATAAAAGCCTTTTGACAATTCTAAGATTTAAACATCATGGTATATAGGGTCTTAACAAAGCTGCACACTATTTAAATTCATATTTTCAGACTGTGACGATTAATGCCCATTTTTCAGCAGCTGACTTAAAGGTTTTGTGGTTTCTGGAGAAACAGTATGCTAAATTCTTGACGTCACTTTATGTGCCGCTTCATGTTTTTTTATTCTGCTGACCTACGTGGTTGTCTGTTTGTGTTGCTTTAGGTGTAATGTTTTTGTCTTATTTGTTGTTATATCTATTGTTTGAAACAATAGAGAAAAGGAGACCATCTTTTCAAGGAAATTTTGTCCATGAAGGAGAAGCCCCCGATGACATCAGCGTGGATAGTGGAAGATAAAGCTCAGGAGGCGGACAAGGTGTTCACCTTGCATCCTCGGATCTACTCCTGCTTTTGTCTGTTTTCCTGTCATTTCTGTCCACAGCCATAAGATACTCCTTGTTTTTCTGATGTACCAACTTTAAAGCGAAATCCCCACATATAGTACATAGGCTTAATATAAGAAGATGCCACGTTACGGAGTTATTTTATTTTATAATTCACAATGATTAAACGCAGGAATATCAACCACTGTCTGATATGTGGGACGCATAATTGCATGTGAAAATGCACTGTTTGTGCAATAAATACTGTGCACATGGTGTTGTTGAACTAACTTTGAATTTTTATTTTTAAAAGATATTAATTAAAAAAAAAAAAAAAAAGATTTGTAGTACACCATAGTAGTCCTCCAAGTTCTCTATCTCTGCTCCTGTATGTAGGAAATACCTGAAACTACTGAGGAGGTTAGCTTTCTGTTGCTTCCATATTCTCTTTTTGCTTATTGATTTTTCCTTGCCAGCCTGTCAGCCTGCTATTTGCTGAAACTTAGAGAACTTAAATTCGAATGGAGGAAATAGTACACATGTAAATTAATAATTAGAAAATTTCAGGTACTAAGAAATAGGTATCGAGGAAATAGATGAAATTCTATGTTGTGTTCGAGATAATGAAGGCTGATTTATCATTGTGGTCAGAGGAGACTTGGGGGAGAAGGCATCAGAATCAGACCTTAACAAATATAAGTAAGCATTCATGTGAAGATTTTTGCATTATTAAGGAAAAGCAAATACAACAATTCCAGAGCTGGAAAGTAGTTTAAAGGAACTGAATACTCAAGTGACCATGACTTAATGAACAAGGAAAAGCATGACTGAAGTCAAAGAGGGGTCAAGAGAGGTCAGAGCCAGGTCATGCAAGAGTCTTTTAGACCAGATTGATTGGTTGGGATTTTATTTATAAGAACGATGGGAAGCCACTGGGTAGTGACATCCCATATATGCCTACCTGATCCCTCTGGTGGCTGGATAAGGAACGGATTATGGGGGTGTAATTAAGAGCAGAGATCAGGCATAAGGACAAATGTTTTCTTCCCACAGAGTAGTTTCTGTTGGTCAGTAGAGGAGAATTTTTCACAGAACGCATAATGGAATAGGGAGAAGATAAAACACATAAAAGATGAAGCCTTACCTAAGAAGAATTGGAGTTCTAGTTGAGATGAAATATTTCCCAGAACACTGTAAATGAGAAAAGATGATGTCACAAAGCTGAACCAAGTGGCATATTTGTATGCTTTCAAAAGGTTAGACTCAAATTCAAACCTTAAAGAATTAGACTCAAAATATGCAATGCTTTTTCTAACATGTTTTGAAATATTCCCTATTTTTAAAAATATATTCACTAGAAGCAAGTTTTCCTAAGCTATTTGGTAGATTTAAAATATGTCCTTGGACCTTCTGCAATGGCTGGTGGGTTTTAAAGTGGCATTTTGGTGAAGCTATTTTGGAGTTCGTGTTTCACGAATATGCAGTATAAAATAGCTTGTATTCAAAATGAAATTAATCTGATGTTACATGAAATTTAAATCTGGAACTTACTACTGCTTAGTTCCTAAATGGTTTTTATTTATACTTTTAAGTTACTGCTTTTTTTTTTGCTTCTTTTCCTCTCAAACACACCCAGGAAAATGTATGAGGGGGCTTAAAAAGTTTGTATAAAAATTTCGTTACCTTTTAGTTCCATTTTTCTACAAATGCTTTGAAGCGCTCTTGTACTTACTTGATGTGTTTACAGATTTTTATAACTACAACAATCCATGCATCCATTCATTCACAACATTTATTCCCCACCACATTGTGGTGATTTTTCTAATTACACATCACCACTATTAGTTGAAAGTAAGTGAACGTTTGACTCTACAAGAGGTTTTTACTTTAACAGATCGTCTTGATTTATAGGTTAACAAAAAGCATGGATAGTTTATTTAAAAAAGAAATGAACTTTCAAAGTGACTCAATTTGATTATGAGCAATTGATTTTAAGAGTAGGGCAGAAAATGGAAACTGAATCATTTACTCTTTAGCAAGTAAATAAATTTGTTGTATACCCTCGTTCTTCTACCTTCATATATTGAGAATTATACTTAAGTCTGTATAAAATATTCTGTTGTGAATCTAATAGAGATTACATAGATTATAGTTTTAGGATGTTTTTGAGAACATTTATGGAATCGTTAAATGTCTGTTACTTATTTCAACTCCCCTAGAAATAATTTTACCCTGTTGTTGTTGGTAAGTGCCTTTGGGCTGGTTCCAACTCATAGCAGCCCTCTGTAGGGTTTCTGAGGAGTGGCTGGTGGGTTCCAACCATCAACTTTGTGATCAGCTTAGTACAGTGCATCCACTGGTGTCATTTGTCTGGGACTTTTCTCCTGGGATATTGGGAGTACTTATTATATCACCCTCCTCACTTCATTGTGCCTACCCTTCACTCCTACCTCAGAAGTCTTATTTCAGTATTTTACCTTGGTTTTATTAAGAATTATTACTCATAACTTAGGCATAGAACTATGAGAATTCAATTTGCCTTATTAGATTTTTGGGACAAATGATTTTCTCATTGAGTTTTTACTTCCACGTTTTTCTTTGAATTTTTCTTTAGAATTTTTTCTTGATTTTCATTTTTTAAGAATACAGTTCTGTAATGTATTTAGTCTGCCTGGGGAAACTACTATAGGCTGCTGTCAGAATGCTTATTGTGCTGACAGGTACTAAGGAGTAGGGAAGAGACAGACCATAGGAGTTAGAGTGGTTTAGCCAAGAGCTTCTTCAAACCGTAGACTATTCTGTGGTTCTCAGGTAACAAAATTGGAAAGACGTGGGTGGATAGGGTAGGACATTGGCCGTTAGTAGGGATAAGATTCCCAAGCAGGAATGCCGGAGTAAATATTGCAAGTACAAGGAGCCACTGAAGAGGCCATTCTGTGAAGAAAAAGGCCCATCTAAAGATACCTCTGGAATATATGAAGTAGTATACTTGATAGATAGGTAGGTTGCACTAAGTTTATGATAAAACTTCAATGGTAAACCAAAGTGTTGTATCTGGATTCTGGAGGGAAATCTACCAAGTATTCTCAAGCAGGGTTGAAAAGCTGGCATTCAGGCAAGCCTCTGCATAAACCTGCTGCAGAATCTTTCAGAATTCTCAATCCTTTCAGTGTATGCTGTTCTATTATTCTTTCTTGTGTAACCTTTCCTTTCAATAGGTCACTGCTGTCTGTTCTGACTTATTAATTCTATGCTCTTCCTTTTCTGACCTCTCTAGAGCCTAGAAGAGGAGATAACATCAATTTTGTTTAGTGAAAAGGGCTTTTCTGGTAGCATGAACACCACCTTCTCTTCAGCCACTACTTGGACAGCAGAGGGCACTGTTGTGAACTGTAATGCACCTGAAAAGCTTTCTTCCTGGCCCTCCTCACAATTGCCTGAGGTGCATTTTACTTTGCTTCCCTGTTATTAAAAGCCATATATGAGAATGATTTTTATTTTTTGAATATTCAGGAGCATTTCCCTCTGGTTTTTTAATTGGTGAAATTAACCTTTCCCAGGGGAAAAAAAATGTTTAAAAAATAGTGACTGAATTTAGGTATGAGGAAGAAATATAGATTGGAGATTTCTCCTGCTTCTTTTGGTCCCCACTAACACTTCACCCTACAATAAAACTCTTTAAATTCAGAGAATCATTTAAACCTTTGAGGCCCAGAGACTAAGTTATTAAGCAGAATTTGTTTATAAAGTCCAAATGTCTTTTGAGCTTTTGTTTTGATGGCTTGTGAGTTTTTTCATTCTATTTTTGTACAAAATTGAGGTGCCTCCCATAGTTGGTGAAATAGTTCTTTTTGTAATATCCATAAGAAAACTCCCTGAACTTTGGCAGAATACAACCAGCCCTTTGAGGCTAGGTAATAATAATTTACTTCCCTATAATAGTAATAATGGAATGGTTACTAGAGAAATATTCTGATCACTGGCCATTATTATTTATAAGAAAATTTATAGATTGTTACATTTGAATATTAGCTATTTCTTAATACTGAGTTTTCCAATTTAGTGTCTGAAACATGTAGACTAAAACTAGAAGGATGGCTCCTTGGTCTCTCAGTGACATGACTTAACCTGGTTTCACTTTGAGCAACTCAACATGCTCTTACGGTGCATTTAAGGATAACTGCAGATCAAAGTGAATCTGTGAGTGTATGCAGATGAGTCCTTCAGGAAGTGTGCCATTTTAGGACCATTCAGTCATGGTTGATCCTGCTGTCTATAGTGGGAAAGCAAGCTATAGGAAGTAGACAGCTCCCGTCTAGGTGGCGTCATGACAACTTCACTACAAGGTTCCTTTCTGCCTGGAGAATGCAGGGCTCAGTGGCCCTCTTGATTTGGCATGGTCATATCTTGAAAAAATTGGGCCACTGTCTCTAGTGGATTTCTTTTAGGTTAGATTACAGGTTGTAGTGCCACTTGATTATTAGAAAGTTGGCGAGGCTTTATTTTAAAGTTAGGTGGCTTTTGAAGAATAGTCATGTGACCATTCTAACCAGAATTATAACAGAGGGACCCAAACAGAGCAGGAGAAACTGCAAAACAAAGAAAATCAAATTCCCAAAAAAGACCAGACTTACCAGTCTGAGAAAGATGGGAGGAATCCTGAGACCATGTCCCTGGTCATTCCCAGGGCCCTCCTTTCAGTCAAACACTAGATCGACCCATAAAAGAGTCACATCCAAGAAGAACACATCCCTTAGAAGAGTCAATTATGCGAGATCCAAAGGACTACATTTGATCCAAAGCAAAGATGAGACGACAGAAAGGGATAGAAAGTTGGGGCAGAAGAAAACTGGGAACCCAGGGTGGAACTGGGGAGAATGCTGAGACATTGTGGGGAATGTAGTCCATGTTATGAAACACTACGTGCAAACTACTAAAGCCAGTGTGTACAAAAAGTAAAAACAAAATGGGAAACTAATTTGCTCTGTAAACTTTCATCTAAAGCACAACAAAATTTTAAATTTAAATAGTAATGTAAAATGACCTTTAAAAATAATTTATAAGCATTAAAACTTTGCCATAAGAAATATTAAAAATAGGAGCTCTGGTAGTGTAGTGGTTATGAATCAGGCTGTGAACCTTAAGGTCAGCAGTTTGAAACTACCAACTGTTTCATGGGAGAAAGATGAAACTTTCTGCTCCCGTAAAGATTTCCAGCCTCAGAAACCTTTTATAAGGTCACTGTAAGTTGGAACCGACTCCTCGGCACATAACAACAACAACAGCAACATTAGTATTAGTATGTAATACTTAGATGCTCTGCTATCCAACTCAAATAAATTAATTTACTTCCCAGAAGTAAATGTCTGCAGGGCTAGGAAAGAACATTGCAAATATGAACATGATTCATGTCGGGATTTCAAAGATGCTTCTGGAGGAGCTAAATTCTCCAGTTGGAGCCATCATTGACATCCTTTCCCCTAATGTTATAATATCCCTTTTATTATTCTCTAGTACAATTTGTGGTGTTAATAATGGTTTCTGAAATGGACATTTTTATGTTATTAGCTGTCTATGACCAATTATAATTTTTCCAATTAAATCTGTTTTATAAATGAGCCAGCACAAAATAAAGGGGCAGTCAATTTAATTTAGGAATTAGAGTTCAGGCTAGGCTTTATAAGGTCTGATTAAAATCAAAGTTTTTGTTATGGGTAGGTTTTTAAATTATCCTTTAAGGTGATCAGTAAGCTTTGGTATAATTAAAAAAATTAAACTCAACTGCATGAGTAGTGTTCGTAAGTATAACGGTAACAACAAACTTTAAATTTCTTTGGAAGGATACTGGCTACTTTATATTTTTGCTTGCTTTTGTACACTTTTTGGTGTTGGTCTCCACTTGGCTGTCCTTTCTTTGACTTTGAGCTCTGAGGTCTCTAGATGTCCTGTTCTGTCTTTTGCAGTGTCAGATATTTGTTTTGCTGGGTGTTGAGGTAAAATTGTATTGATTTTGTGTCCTTGGTTGCTTTTTGTTTCACAGAAACGTGCTTCCGAGTCAGAAGGGCCATGCATTGGAGCCAGTGATGCTGTTAAGGTTCTCCCCTTTTTCCATGTTAACACCATGCCTAATGTTTCTGACCCCTTCACGATTTCCCTGCTTCCCTTTCAGTCAGCCATCATAATCATCTTTGTTTTCCTCCATGACATGAACCTACCATCAGTTTGTTTGGGTTTCCATCATTTTCATTTATTCATATATTTTTGTTTTCCCTCATCCGTTTCTTTTTTGTACAGAGTTCACATGAGACTCTGAATGTAGTGGAAGAGAAGAAGCGGGCAGAGGTTGGGAAAGACAAAAGAGTTATCACAGAAGAAATGAACGGTAAAGAGAGATCACCTGGGAGTGGTCCTGGGGAGATTCGTAAGGTGGAGCCACTGACACAAAAAGACTCCACCTCCCTGTCTTCTGAGAGCAGCAGCAGCAGCAGTGAGAGTGAAGAAGAAGATGTGGGCGAGTACCGTCCCCACCACCGTGTGACCGAGGGCACCATCAAAGAGGAGCAGGAGGAATATGAGGAAGAGGCGGACGAGGAGCCCGGCCAAGCAGCCAAGGTAGTAGAGAGGGAGGAGGCAGTGCCAGACGCCAGCCCAGTCAAACAAGCAGGTGCCAATAGAATCACAGTAGAAACAGTGATCCAGGATGTAGTTGCCCAAAAGATATCTGGAGAGAAGAGTATAAACGAAGGCGCTATTAAGCAAGACATGAGAGAAGAAGCAGAGGAAGAGCAACATAAAATTAACGGAGAGGTGTCTCATGTTGACATTGATGTTTTGCCACAAATTATTTGTTGTTCAGAGGTAAATGAGAGTCCCAGGTGGGAGCTAAACTGTCGTAGATCTATTTCTCATGTGGAAAACTCCTGCCTTTCTTCTCCTGCCTTCCCGATTCTTCTTCAGCTATGTCAACAAGATTCTGATTCTTTTCTCTAATGGGAGGAAACTGGGAAGCACTGCTTAATAGAAGTTCTGCCAGCTCAGTTCATGATTTCTAGCTTCTTTACTGCGAGGGTAAATGTTCCAGCGACAACCCTATCATTTATTTCCTTTCCATTTTACACTTACATTTTTCTTTGCATGTTTTGAACGTTTCCAACTCTTTTGTTCTTAGTTGCACTGCTTCCTGGCACTGCATGCTTTTTTCATTGTTTTAATTAGAAAATTGTATATGTAATATTAAAATACTCAGTGTGAATGTGTGTGTGTGTGTTCCTGGTGTCACCGCTGGGCTTGACTTCTTCGCCCATTCTCTCACCCTTCTCATCAGCATAAGTGTTTTAGAAATGGTGGCAGGCTTTGGCTGCAATGATGCTTTGGTCAAAGTGTCTCTCAGTGATGTGAACATTACTTGTGGCATGCCACTGATTTCTGTTTTTAGATGCCAGGGATTGTAAGTGTCTTCTCTTTTCTTCAAGGCAACTAGAGCCTAGACTGTTGAATAGTGGATATCTTTCCTCATTCTGTCTTATCATCAGTTGTAGATTATTTGCAAGTTAATGGTATGTTTTGTGGTTTATCAGTATTGAATATAAGTCTTTTCCTCCACTTACTCCTTTTAGATTAAGTCTTAGATGCAGTGCCCCTGAATTAGGAATTAAAATCATGGTGAGGGAGATTTACTTTCGTGAGTATGTTTCTTGGTTCTACAATGTAATTCCCACAATTTAGTGATTATTCATATCTGCTGGTTTTGATGGCAGGGAATGTTTTGAATTGGCTTTGCTGGACAGAATTGACTGGATTTTTTGCTGTGTTACATTTAAACTCCCCATTCACTTAAGAGAAAACGTTTCAGCAGTATGTGACTACTTTGAACTGTTGTTTGTCGCTGCTGACATGGTTGTTCCTCTTTAAACAGTTAGACCTCTTAAGAATTTTCTTAGTACACTATTCTTTTGGAGGTTGTATAGTCAACTTGTGTAGTAAACATACACAGGAGGGCTTCAGAAAACTGTATTACTTTTAATTTCATTTTCCACAAACTTTTTGAAAACTCCTTGTATGCACAGCAGACTATGATATTAACAGGTCTTCAAACTTCCCCTTTAATGTTTTAAATTGTTCTGAATTGTTCAAAGCTATAATGCCCTGTTGATGGAGTAATTTGATATCTAACATTTTAAGTTTTGTAACACACAAGAAAGGACCTCTGGTAGTGTAGTGGTTACAAATCGGGCTGGGAACCTTAAGGTCAGCAGTTCAAAACTGCTCGCTGTTCTGCGGGAGAAAGATGAGGCTTTTTGCTCTTGTAAAGATTTACAGCCTTGGAAACCCTGTACAGGGTCGCTATGAGTCGGAACCGACTCCATGGCACATCACCACCACCAACAACACACAAGAAAAACTGCAGTTATTGTATTACACAATATAATTCAAACCAGTCTTACTTGGAAGTTATTGTCCCTAAATATGGTATCTTCCTTCTCAATTAAGGCAGAAAGGAATTTTTTGGGGAAGAGAGCAAATCTTCGCCTACCTAGCCTGATGGCCAGTGAGAGGAAATGAGCTTCACATAAACCTTGTGATCCTTCAAATTGCAGCTCAAGAAAGACAGGCCACTTCACGCAGTTGATTCTGTTTTGTTTCCTTTTCAGTTGTTCAGAGCTCAAGTATATCACTGTTCTCTAGTGGTGACACTAACTAGTTTGTGCCCATCATAATTCACCTATATCATGATTTAGGGAGCCGTTACGTAGCTAGCTTTCTCATTCCTATATAAGGGGGAGCTTCAAAAAGTTTGTTGGAAAGTTCCATTTTCCACAAACTTTTGAAGCTCTCTCATGCATGTATGTGTGTATGTACATATACATACATATATATATATACACACACACACAACAATATTTGAAGGAAGGCATTTCTTTTATGTCTTTCATTTTAGGTTATTTGCTTTTATTCTTTTGCGCATGAGAGTGTGTTTGGATGTTTCATACAGTTATTTGGAAGGCTCTACTAAGTACTTTTACTTCCTTACCTCTAGAATTTATTTTTCCCTTTTTCACCTTAGCCACCAGTGGTAAAAACAGAGATGGTAACAATTTCTGATGCCTCACAAAGAACAGAAATCTCCACCAAGGAAGTCCCCATTGTCCAAACTGAGAGCAAAACCATCACATATGAGTCTCCACAGGTACAAAAGCTCTAGACTTGGATGATTTGAGTTCTTTCTTACTTAATTTACCTATTTCTGCTTTCATTCTATCTTTTCCTGGTCCACGTGTTTCTGACTTTGCTGTAGTTTTTGTAAATCTCCATCTTATAACCACCTCTCAGCTGTTTGGCTCTCTTAGGTTGACTCAGAGACTGCAGACAAATTGGTGCTCCAGTAACTATAGGCAGTGAGCATGCATATGATTATTTAGGACAGGTACTATCAATCTTGTTCTGGGAATATTCATGTACACTTGGGAAACGGATTGTCTTCCAGGGGTTATTGGGTTGGATATATCAGTTAGTGGGTCAGTAGGAGATAGAGATCTCTTCCCCTCCCTCATTTCATGAGGACAGACCTAATGAACTCACACATACTTGCAAGTATACACATGTGTTCTTCTGTTTTTCATGGGCTTATTTTCTGGAATTTTATTTAGTCATTCTTTAGGTAAACTCAGATTTGTGTTTGATTTAGGTCTTCAGACACAGATTCTGTGAAGATTTTAAATAAGCATTAACATATTTACCATTGTTGTGTTGTTAAGTGCCCTCGAGTCAGCTCAAGCGCACAGTGACCATGTATGGGGTTTACGAGAAGCAACTGGTAAGGCTTGAGCCACGGACCTTGCAGTTCAAACTGACCTTGCAGTCCAGCGCATTAACCCACAGCGCCACACCAGGACTCCATCTACCACTAAGGGTTACGAAAAAGAGGAATGTATTTATCATTTAAAATTGATCTATTTAAAAATGTGTACAACACGACTTTCCCTCCTGAGACAAGTTTAGACATCTGTGGTAGAACTAATACCATAGTGGAGGCCAGCAGATGATTGCCTTCTTGAAGTATTTTTGAAAATATTTCATGCGTGTGTGTGAAACGTTTCTCAAAATTACTTTGGATATGTTGTCCATATTAGTGCATAGATCCTCTAAGAGCACAAATATTTGTTACAACTGGGTGTCTGAGGAGAACGTGCATGTGTGTAGATTGTGGTAAGTGCTCTTAAGTGAGCTTCAGGTGTTTGAGGTTTCCTCTCACCTTTTAGTCAGTGAGTACCAGGAAACAGGAGACAGAGAAGTTTGGATATTAATACGATAAACTGATTCAGTCTATCAGTTTGCTTCTTTATTTCCTTGGATAAGCTCTAGAACTTTTTACCTTTTCCAGTACTAAAGCAAGCAAGTACAAATCTATTTGGATATACAGGGGGGCTTCAAAGAGCTTGTAGAACAATAGAATTAAAAAATGTTGGAATTTTTCCCTGAAGTTTTTGAAACCCCCTCCTATGCCTGAGATTTACAGCTGGTGTGTATAGAGTATGTGCAAACATTCATTTTGAACCCTATGTGCTGTAATACTGTTGGTAGTACTTACAGTTGAGTCAGTTAGTCCATGGGTACAGAGTACAACTGTCTGTTGGGTTTTCAAGAATGTGACCTTTCGGAAACATTATGGCAAATATGTCTTTCAAGATGCCTTTGGCAAATGGTTAACCGTTTGTGCCTCCTAGGGACTCCAGATGCACCTGTATGTATGAGGGTGAATCAAAAATTATCTGCACTCTGGCTGTAGAATTTATTTGATTCATTTTTTATAAAAGACAAATCATCGTTTTTGGACATAAACTTCCTTGCTTTTCAATACACTGTGTCTGTCTGTCAACAGGCGTTCATATTCCCTTATTACAACATGTTGTAGGCTGAGCTGCAAGCCACAAATGCTCCTCTGTCTTCACTTCTTTATCACAAGTGAATCTTCGTCCTCCAAGGGTTGCTTTCAGGGCCCAAACAGGTGAAAATATGATGGCACAAGATCAGGACTATAGGGAGGATGCTTTGACACCTCAGAGCAACGCTTTTGCAGAGTGTCAACAGTGTAGGCAGAGGTGTGCTGACTTGCATTTGTCATGCAAGATCACAAGGCCTTTGGATAGCAGTCCTCTGCTTTAAATCCCAAGTTTAGGCTTCAGCTCTTTGGTGAGCATCTCACTGTGACAAGTACTGTTGGTTATTGAACCAATTCCCTGACAGTGTTCCGATATTGACCCTTGCCAGAAAACTGTAAACATCCATTTTCCAGCTGATGGAAACTTGAACTTTTTCTTGGTTGGCGATTAAGGATGTATCCATTCCAGGCTCGTAGTGATGAATTCCTTTCTCGTCACCAGTAATTCTTTGAGTATTGGTCCAAATTTTGTTTGCAGGTGTGCAAATGCTTCTGTTTATGCACTTCTGTGAGTTGTTTTGGTACCCATCTCACACAAACTTTTAGAAACCCAACGCTGTCATGGATTATTTCATAGGCAGAGCCATGGCTGATTTACAAATGATTTGCCACATAATCTACTGTCACTCATCTATGCGACAGAATCATTTCACATGCATGCTCAATGTAGTCATCAGTCGTATATGTGGACGGGCTTTTTAATATAACCAGGGTTCAGATAATTTTTGATACTCACTTCGTATATTCTATACATCTCAATGTAAAAACTTATAAATGCAATGTAGTTTTGGGAAAAATTCTGCTAGAGGTAAGCAAACAATGAAATCACTGAAGTTCAGTCCATCCTGTTCAGGTTCCATTCTAGGAATATGAGCAAATGTTTTTCTCTTCTTACCCACCTTTGCTTAAAAACAGTCACAACAATCAACTCAGTACTTCCGGTCACGGTGGCCCACTCTGCCTGGTTCTCTGGTGTCTTCTTCTGGCTTCTATCGAATGGCCTTCAGGTCAAATTCTTTGATGATTCCTGTATGGTATTCCTACCCATCTTCTCCTCCATTCTTTTTTCTTTTCCACCCACAGGATTTGTTTCTGCACGTGCATCCAGCCTTTTGCCTGTATTCTGTTGTAATTATCACCATAAAGATACATAGGATATGCAGATAGCCTCCTCTGCCAACTGCATAGTTTTTAAACATGCATATTCACTGGGAATGGGTCTTGGACAGCATAATGGAAGTTAAGCATTACTTTGTATTTTCCCCCAACTATCCAAAGGTTGATGGCGGGGCTGGTGGTGATTCGGGCACATTACTGACTGCACAAACCATCACATCTGAGTCCGTGTCGACAACAACCACCACACATATCACCAAGGTAAAGCAGTCCAGGGGACCCTATGGAAGTGATGGTGCTTGTCAAACAGTATCTTTTTTGAATTGTTTCTGTGTTCCTATGCACACTTCAAAACAATACATAGTGCCTATGGAGTAAAAGTGCCTTGATTTCAGGTATCTAAGAAACTAAATGCCACTGAAAAATGTATTAAAACCAAGTGGCAATTTTGTACAGCACAGGGGGTAAAAATATGTTATGAAGAATTAAACTTAAGATAGCCAAATGAGTGGTTTGGTGGTTATGTGCCATGGAGTCGATTATGACTCATACCGGCCCTGTACAGGGTTTCCAAGGCCGTAAACCTTTACAGGAACAGAAAGCCTCATCTTTTTCCCACGGAACCACTGGTAGTTTTGAACTCCTGACCTTGAGGTTAGCAGCCTGATTCATAAGCACTCCGCTAACAGAGCCAAAGGCGTAGAGTTTAATAAAAGTGGAAGCACAGATTTGGTGAGGACAAATGAGCCCTCTGATGCAAACAATTGAATGAAGACCATCATTCATAATTTTCAACAAGTTTTTCAAATGTGAAAATTTCCCCATCTATTTAAAATATGTATGTGTTGATTTGGGACATTTTCCCAGATTGTTCCTTGAATGCTTAATACCTTATACCAGTGATTTTTGGAAACTGTAGTCCCTGGACCAATAGCATCAGCCCTACCTGGGGACTTGTTACAAGTTTATGAGGGAACTTCCAAATGTTTGTGGAAAAATTCCATTATCTTTCAGTTCCATTTTCTAGAAACTTTTGAAAACTCTCTTGTATATTCTGCAGACCTTGCTACAAATACCTTGGAATTATTTCAGAATCCCTCCAGGTGATTCTGATGTGTGCTGTTGTCTTCAGATTTCTCGCTCTATTACTTCCCAGGATCCCCTTCTCCAATTTTTCACATTTGGTTAGTGATTAAAGGTCACAAATACATTCTTTATTTTTCTTACCAACTCCCTATGTTTAAACAAAAACCCAAGCAAAAAACAAAACAAAAAACTTAGAGTAAATTGAAAAATGCCATGTTAAGTGCCAAGGTAGTTTTGGTGCTCATTTAAATGTATGTAGTTATTAAAGCTGGTGATAAGCCTTGTCTTTGCTGTACAGTGCCATGACTTGTGGTTTTGTGTGTAAATTTATCAGAGATTGGATGTATGCTTTCTCAGGACTCTGATATTTACTCTTTGTCTGTTTTGAATGTCAGGGCCATATGATCTCTTCAGCCGTGTGCCCTGTACCACTGACTGTATCAGTTTGCAACAAGCCAGTAGTTCTGGAGACAGTGCACCCAGAGCTCCTTCTCCCAACCCCTTCACATAGTCACACAGCCTGTGTTTAGCCTTGCTTCATTCCACAGTCACAACCATAAAGCTCAGCATCAACCTCTCCATCTTCCGAATGTTACTGTTACACTAAACCAAATGAACACAATTGACAAATGAATTTGTATGACCAGAATCCATCAGTCAGAACTATAACATCAATTTCCCAAATCTGAAATGGATACCTAAATTATTACAATTGCTTGGAACTAAACAAACACCGGATTGATACCTCCTCTTTCCCATCCCCTTTTTCAAAATCAGCCAGTTGGGAATGAAGACAGCCAGGAAATTTCTCCAACAGAATGTCCAGGTAGAACTATTTGGATTAGATGACATCTGTCCCAGTCTCAATCTTACCTGAAATTTGATAAATTAGTTTTAGGGGTGTTTTCAGTGGATTTATGAAGTCTACCATTTTAACAGTAGAAATCTCCTGAGAGCTTAAAAAAGTCACCAATAGGTCATAGAATGTCCGTCTTCCCCCATTTGGTATATATTGCCTTACAATGATCCGAAGTGTTCGCTCTCTCCTCTTGATTATTCTGCATGTTTTGATGATTGTTCTTTTCCCCCTTCTTTTGACCTTTAGACTGTAAAAGGTGGAATATCAGAAACAAGAATTGAGAAACGTATTGTGATCACAGGAGATGCAGATATTGATCATGACCAGGTAAAGACCATAGGCTCTGCTTCTGACAGCATCTGTTTATTTTCTAAGCTTTGCACATCTTTGTATGTCATCTGTCACGTCTCTTCTCCCAATCCTCGTGGGTGAATTCCAGTCCTTAGTATATTATGGAAGACACTTTCAGCCTTTTAACAATGATTAGCATAAAACATAGTGTGATGTCTATTTCCCATGGACTGTACATGGCCTTTTTGGTCAAAATAATCTAGAGGATTCTTGGCAACTGTTAGGTACTCAGGTGGGTCTGGCTTAAAAACCAATCATCAACTTTTAAAAAGCATGATGATACTGGCTTCTAAATAATAGAAAAAGACTAAACTTGATTTATGCCCACTTTTAGGAAGTTTTAAAGTATTTTTTTGATAGCATTAGCAAATTGGGCTATTTACCACCATATATTTTTCCTGAACTTATATGTTATGTGGGGCTAATCTAAAATCTCTTACAATTTGGTCAGAAAACTTGTTTTTAAAGAGTCGCCAGTTCAATTCTGAGAATTAGCTTTGGCAAAATGCTTGGTTTAAAGCAGGTAATGGATGGGACAGCTAGAGACGTTTAGATTAGCTTTAATTTCAGACTTCTGTCCCAAATGATGATGAGAATTTTGTTTTTTCTTTCTGTGTGATTTTAATTGGCTGGCTTTAAAGTAGACCAAACTGTTTCCCTTTATAACAGCTTAAAGAAAAAGGAAAATAAATGTTCAACTGACCATCTCAGTTGGGGAATAGGAACAAATGATTACAAATTACCAAGCTCTGAACACAATATCGAGCTCAGAGAATTTTGGTGAATGAAGTTTTTTGTGTGATAAAGGTTCACTATATGTGGCCATAGAGAAATGGATTTTTCTTCATGCTTAAAGTTCTCTAGATTTTTAAACTTCTGTCAGCATGCTTTTAGTTTTCCATCCTGTTTTCTAATGCTTGCTTGCTGAGCTCCTGGAGCATTGTTAGAGGTGAAAAGATTGCCCTAACTCTTCATTGTGACTCAGGAGTAGTGTTCCCTAATAGATGACTGCTAGTACATTTGCCATGTTTCCACTGGAAAATGACTGACTTTTGTAAAAACAAGCATTCAGTTTCCCATACAGAAAATTAATTTTATCATCCACTGGAAGACTCTTGAGCTTTTCTGATTTGTTGTTGTGCCATCCAGTCGGTTCCGACCCATAGTGACCCTGTATAGGGTTTCCGAGGAGCAGCTGGTGAACTTGAACTGCCAACCTTGCAGTTCAAATGGCTTTGCAGTCTGGCGCATTAACCCACATCGTTTTTCTGATGAAACTATTTAAAATGAAAGGAGGAAAATTACTGTGTGTCAAATATCAGATATTGATCATATAGTGATTTTAATATCACTGACACCTTTTCCCATTTCTTGCCTGTTGTTGTTGTTATTAAGTGCCGTCCAGTTGGTTCCCACCCTTAGTCACACTGTATAGGCTTTCTGGGGAGCGGCTGGCAAGTTTGAACCGCCAACCTTGTGTTTCTAACCAACTTGGTGGATGAGCGTGTATCCTACAGCACCACAGAAGTCTTAATTAATAGCCCATGGAAACCTTCATCTGGGTGAGATAGGAAACAAGCAGTTGCATATGTGTTAGCAGATTAAAGAGGAGATGGTCTGTAATGGAAACTCGCTTTCCAGGATTTTCTTCTTGTGCTTCATGTGGGGTGGGGGGGTAGGGGGGTGGGAGGAGTATCAAGAGGACTACCATTGCTTTCTGGTGCATATTTTTCCAATGAAATAACTTCTAAGTTTGGGATTATGATGTCAGAGTGTCCTCACAGCCCTTACTGTTGCCATAATAAATTCACATTTGGTAGTATTTAATTTCACGTGCTGATAATTCTGAAATAAAGGACTGACCTATGTGTTTAAAGATAATTATAGCAGAATTTATTTTCCTACTTTTTGCTTTGGGGCCCACAAATCAACATGTTGTAAAATTGTTTGAACAGTTCACCTCCTTCATCCCCTTTGAACACTTCAAACCTGTGCTCCAGCTCTGCTCTCCACCCATGCACTGAAAAACTGTTTGACTGCCCTTGATGCAAGATACCTGCTCTCATCCTCACTCCACTCTTGTCCTGGCCTTCTGCTAACATTTGATAGACAGTTATGCTATGGCTCAGAATGAAGCTAGCTCTAGGTCTAATTTCTCTTCTGCCCTGATGCAGGAAGGTCAGCAGAGTTTGTTCCTTAGTGGGAATTTAAGCACCCAGAAGTTTCTTCCAAGCTTTTGTGTAAAAAATATTTAATGTCAAAAAGATTTTGTGGCGTTACCCTTTCCCCCTTTCCCTAGTCGAGTGAGTTTCAAGGTTTATCTCAGTAGAGTCACAGCAGACAGAAACCGTAATGTGACCAAGAAATGCAATTGTCCCTTCTTTTAGGTGATAGAGCAAGAGGAAAAATTGTGCTTTCTCCAATGCATTGTTTCCTTATGAGATATGGCACTCTCTATGATAACAGAATTTCTGTTTTAGATTTCTTTCCTGAACTTTGAGTGTGTTCTATAGGGTCCTGTTTCCCCCCACCCCCCACCCCCCAAAGGCCTGTTAAAGGCAAAATTCATAGCAGTGAACAAAAACATCCTTTTCTCTGAAAAATAAGATCTTTTCCACTTTAGCACACCACTTTATAGAGTTTGCTTCTGACCAGAGGGAAGGGAAGCTCTGTGTCTGCTTTCTCACAGCCTGGTCAGCCCCCAGTCCTGGATTGCCCCTGCCACTCCCTGAGTAGATGGCCAAGTCCTAGGCACTTTTAATTGTGTCAGCTGTAAAGCAGGGATCTGTACTTCACGCTCTGAAGGTTAGTCTGTATTCTGTAGCTTTACTGATTCTGCATTCTTGGTGGTTTATTTGTTCTTGCTTCTGCTGTTTTATTTGTTCTCTGTCCTGGAAGTTCACAGATACGGTCCATGCAGCTTTTTAGTTCAGGCAGCTACTGAGCGCCTAAGAGAACAGCGAAGCACAAGCCCTGGTTTGTGCAGTGGAGTGTCAGGTACTTGTGTGATAACCAGTCCCACCGAGTGGCAGGACAGGCTCTAACTCGGTGGGATGCTGTGTTACGAACTCTTAGTCGCCATTTCATATGATACTAGTGTGTCCTTACTTTGAAATCATCGAGCCAACCCCTACTCGCAAGCAACTGTTCATTACAATCACTTTTATTTGCTGCACGTGTAGTTTTTAAACCATTGAAAAGGCTTCAAGCTTTGAGCCTTTTTTTTAACTAAACCTGTTGCCATCAAGTTGATTCTGGTTCATAATGATCCACAAGACAGAGTGGAAGTGCTCCGTAGGGTTTGTGAGACTGTAAATCTTCAAGGCAGCAGACTGCCACACCTTTCTCCTATGGAGCAGGTGCTGGGTTCAAATTGCTGACCACCAGGGTTCCTTCCTTACACTTAGTTGTTAAGTGCCATTGAATCTGTTCCACCTCACAGCGACTCTGTATAGGGTTTCTGAGGAGCAGTTGGTGAGTTTGAACCACTGACCTTGCAGTTCAAATGGACCTTGTGGTCGAGTGCTTATCCTACAGCGCCACACCAGGACTCCTCCTTCATACTAAGTAAAACTAAATAAGACTGGTGTGCATCTGTTCTGACATACTTACGTGTTCTTAAAGACATAGGAATGGATTTCATTCATAACCCAGGACTATCTTTTCTTCAGCAAACCTTTAAATGATCTTTACAAGCACAGCATTAGTCTCAGGTTACAGGTTGAGACACCAAGTCTCAGAGAAGAGTTGTTGTTCTCCAAGTCTCACAATTAGTGGCAAAGCTGGAGTTCCAAGCCAACATATATCTTCTGCATGTATCTAAGAAATGGGGGATTTGGAAAAGTGAGAAGCATTGTCTAAAATGAACAAGAGCCCATTTCAAAACATTCTTACTGCTCCTCAAATAAAGAAATGAACCTTTTGGCTTGAGACTGAATCTCAGTTACTTGGCATGTGTGTGTCTTACTATCCTGACTTTCTCTCCTGACCGTGGCAGGCGTTGGCCCAGGCGATCAAGGAAGCCCGAGAGCAGCACCCAGACATGTCCGTCACCAGAGTGGTGGTACACAAGGAGACAGAGATGGCGGAGGAAGGGGAGGAATAGTGAGGTAAGAGCCTGAGCTTACCTCCGTCTCTGATCAGGCCGAGGGTGTGAGCCACACTTACATCCTACTGTTCCGCTTCCTGCAGGACGTTGGGGTTTTTCGGAAGCATTAGCCCCAAGAGCAATTACTTAGGTTACTGGTATGTAATTATAAACCTGTGAATTGTGTTGTTATTGAGGGCCATGTAATAATTAACTGTTGCACTTTGCTTTACTACTTATAAAAGCACATTAACATGTTACTTTTATTAATATTTACAAGAACTTTGAGGAAGGTGGTGTTGCCCTGAATTAGACGAAAGATTTTTATTATATAAGGGACAAACGGAAGATAATTTAAATCTTTTAAGTATACATATTACTAATTGTGTATCTTGAGAATGACACATAAAGGAAGTATGTTCACATGCAAATCCATTTGCATATATCTACATGGGCAGTCACTGATTTACAAAACAAGATCTAGTCCTAAGTATGTCTTTTCAGTTAAATTTGTAGTTAAGTCAAAACAGGTGCACAGTTCTTATTTAGCCTAACCACACATGCAGCAAGTCCAGGAGATTGTGATAAAGGATTTGATTTGAACAGGTGTTAGTTTAATCTTTTAAAATTGAGGTAATTTTACATACCCTTAAAGCAGAGCTTCAAAGATGGCTGCGCCCCACTGAAAAAGGCTGGCTGACCATGTATCTCTGAATGTGTGGTGTTCTCCACAGTTCTGCCAGTAACTCAGTTTCCTTCATCAGACTCCTGGAAGGGCTCACTGCACCTCTAAAAAGCCTCCCATCCCAGGGTTTTGACCCATAATTTTTCTTGTTCTGGTGACTTTGACTAGTCACCCAACTCTAAAACTTGCATTCTAAACTGGTTCAAAGTCATGCATTAAAATAGGAATTTCCCTTAAATTGGACATTCATAACCTGAGGACTGCCTGAATATATAAATGTAAAACAGTCAAACCAACAAAGGATAAATGACACTTTAGTATGCATGATAGAGAAAAGATTAAGATGGTGCATACTAATTTTCACCTATTAATTTGACATAGTTTGTATTTTTAACTACTGTTGGGGAAGTTGTGGGAAAAATATGCTCATAATCTGCTATGTAAATTATTAATATTTTTTGAGAGACAATTTGACAAAATGAATCTCAAAAATCCCGCTGTAAGTATGCCTACCATTTGAATCACTTTCAAGGCTCTTAAATAAGCAGAGATGTGTACAAAGACTTAGCCACATGGTGGATAATTATCACATTTACATATAAGATACAAGTTTTTTTTTAAATTGAAGTGGCCCTCACTGGGGTATTGGTTATGCAATATGCTGCCCTCATATGATGACTAAATAGCCAATAAAACTTGTGGTAAAGAATTCTTAATGAAATGAGTAAATGTTCACAGTTATTAGGTTTTTGAAAAGTAGAAGTATATCACACAGCATATCCAACAAAGTTACTGTTTTGTGTCTCAGTTTCTGTGCATTGGTCAGTAACAGATAGAACCCAGGAGTGACTGAATCCTTGCATGGAAACTCCAGGATGAGGTTTTCTTCTATTTCACATTCTTCCCTCCAGCTTTAATTTTTGCTAATTTGATGCATATGAAATGATCTGAATTGTGGTTTTAAGTTTGCATTGCCACGATTCTAATGAGATTTAGTATATTATGGTTATTGGCCATTGTGTTTTCTCTTAAATTGTTCAACTTGTCTGATTTTGTTTGTTCATTTCTTTGTTTTTGTTGATTCTTGAAATATTCTGGTCATGTATTTGTCATTTTTATGCATTCCAAGTACCTTGAGATGTATGGTTGATGTTTTTCCTCTCAATATGATTTTATCTTGTGCTCTTTCTGTATCATGATACATTAAAGATATTTCCCATCTAGAAACTTTACATTTCCCTTCCACATACTCTTAATCCAGCTGAAATATTGATTCATCTGTTTCCTATGTCAGTAGCTGTACCAGCATTTATAGGTGTCTCCATCAAATTTCTTAAATATGAAGATATGATTTTGGTTACTGTATTTCCATTGGAACCTGTGTCTGTCCCTGCTCCAGTGTCTTACTTACTATAGCATTATACCTTTTATTTTTGTTTCTATTTAAATGATTTTTTAAATATTTATTTTTTTAAAGGTGATTGTTTTACCTGACTTTCTTGTATCAAGACTGTAGGCACAGGAATATCAAAGTAGCCAAGAATAATTTGGAAGTTACCAGGGACTTGTTACAATGCTTGAAAGTCTGACCAAGAACATTGACATTTAGAAATGAAGATGGGGGGAGGAGAAGGATTTTCTACCTGTTGCTCATTTGGTTGACTTTTCTATAGCAGTCTTATATAAGGATGCTTCAAAAGGTCATGGAAAATTCCACTACCTTGTAATTTTTTCAATTTTTCCAAGAACTTCCTGAAGCCCCCTTGTATCTAGTGGTTGTCCTTGTCACTAAGTGCTGTCGAGTCAGTTATGACTCATAGAGACCCTGTATAGGGTTTCCAAAGAGCAGCTGGTGAGTTTGAACCACCAACATTGTGGTTCAAACTGACTGCGGTTTAGTATGTATCCCACAGTGTCACACCAGGACTCCATATCTAGTGATGCTACTCTTTACATATTAGATACTGTTTTCAATGCAAGATACATAAAAGGCCTGCAGGCAGAAATCATTTAAAATTTTAGCACCAGTAAAAAACCCAGCTGGTTGAGTAAATGTGCTGTGTTGTATGATAAAACATTGATCTTTTGATTTTTGAGATGTATGAAGAAGCTTCGTGGAAAAACAGAATTAAAAGATAATGGATTTTTTTCCATGAAATAATTTGAAACACCCTGATATTTCCCTAATGATTTTATATATGAAGAACTTAGAGCATTCTTAGCTAAAAGACACAAGTCTGAATGCTGCTTTAACTTTGCCAGCTGTGTGACATTGGACAATTAAGTCAGTGTAGATGGTAAAATTCACCCTTCCTGACTCACAGGACTTATTATTAGGGTATAATAAAGATTATAAGGATTACCTAAGGATACTTAAAATAATGTGAAAATTGTATGTTATACAAATGTAACGTTATAATATTGAGTATTTTTCCTCTTAAGAATCAATTACTTATTAATAGGAGTATAAGATAAAGCTTAGTATAAGTACTGTGAGTTTTGCCAATATCCTTGTCTTCATTTGTGGTATCTTGTAGTCCATTTTTAAGTGAGTTAGGTGTATCCGTTGTTCTGTCATTGTTATTGTTCATTTCCAACTCATAGCAACCCTGTTGTGGGTTTCTGAGGCTGTGAGTCTTGGCAGGAGTGGAAAGCCACGTCTTTCTTCCATGGAGCAGTGGGTGGGCTTGCAGTTCAGTGCTGATCTTACTGATTCACTGCGCTTCCCATCATTCTGGCAACCTTGTTTTCAATTACTTGTAGCACATACACATATATAACAATTGAAGTTTGCTTGTATTAGAGGCCGGCCTTTATGAGCAGCCTTATTGAAGAGATTTAGAAAATTGCAGTATAAATTCACAATAAGGTGAGAAAACTAGATTCATTTAGAAAGAGTCGTTTATTCATTCAAAAGTATGTATTTTAATGAGTGCCCAAATCTGCAGAAGAGAGCACGGAGGAGTCAGTGGTGGGCTAAACAGTTACTGTTCTTAGGAAGTTATACTCCAGGAGGGAAACTGTGGCTATTAATGAAATAAACACAGTTGCCAAGAATAAGAATTCTAGAACCCTTAATGGTGTTCATGCAGAACCTGTACATAGAACAGGACAGTTGTTATAACAGGACAAGGGGGTTCTGTTTGTTTTAAAGTTGAAGTTGTGGATCAGAGTTGTATCTTTTCACCATACTTGTTTATTAACCTGTATGCTGAGCAAATAATCTGAGAAGCTGTATTATATGAAGAAGGACATGGTGTCAGTATTGGAGGAAGGCTCATTCACTTGTGATGTGAAGATGACACAACCTTACTTGCTGAAATCGAAAAGGCCTTGAAGCAGAAGCTCTTACTGTTGAAGATGAAAGAATACAGTCATCTGTGTGTATTACAACTCAGTGTAAAGAAAACAGAAATCCTCACAATTGATTGGGCCATCAAGGACATCATGAGAAGTACCAGAAAAGACTGACATTGCCAAGCATTTCAGTTTACTTGAATTCATAACCAACGCTCATGGAAGCAGCAGTCAAGAAATCAAATGGTATATTGATTGGGCAGATCTGCTACAAAAGATCTCTTTAAAAGAGCAAAAATTAGAGGATTTATGTGCCTGGCCCAAGCCATGGTGTTTTCAGTTACCTCATCATGTGCATGTGAAATCTGGACAATGAATATGGAAGATCAGAGAAGAATTAATGTATTTGAATTACAGTTTTGGGAAAGAATATTGAAAGTGCTATGGATTGCCAGAAGAACAAACCATTCTGTCTTGGAAGAAGTACAGCCAGAAGGCTCCTTAGAAGTGAGGATGGAGAGACTTAGTATCGTATACTTTGTCCGTGGTGTTGGGAGGGACCAGTCCCTGGACATGCTTGGTAAAGTTGAGGGTCAGCAGAAAAGAGCAAGACCATCAGTGAGACGGGATTGACACAGTGCGGCTGCAACACTGGGCTCAACATAATAATTGTGAGGATGACGCAGGACTAGGCAGTGTTTCCTACTGTTACACATAGGGCTGCTCTGAGGAGGAGCCAACTCAGTGGCACCTAACACCAAGAACAATTGGAAATTTCATAAATGCTCTGGGGGGGAGGGGGATGCTGAGAGTACAAAGTGAGAGACATGACATCTTATAAACTTAACCTGTTACTTAAGAAAGAGTGTTTGAGTTGGAATCTAAAGGACGAATAGGAGGTACCAGACAGTGTCTGTGATTTCAGCATCTGCATCCCCTACTGGCTGCAGCTGGTCAGAGGATTTGGACTTTGGAGTTCTGGTGTGGTGTTGTAGAATAAGCACTGGGTTGCTAACTGCAAGGTCAGCTAACTGCA